TGCTTAGGCTACTACCTGGAACAACACATGCATTTGATAACTGTTACCTGCTACTGCATATTATCAGTCTTCTCTATGGGTATATAAGTTTCACAAAGACAGGGATTTTGTCTTACCCATGGCTATGTTCATAGCCCACAAATCAGTGCATCCAGGGCACATGTCAAGCCCCCAATAAATATTTCTTACCTGCACATATTAATAAATGAAAGCTGGAGGGCCTTTCCCAAAAGTTTATAAATAATTTAAAGTCTTTCTTGTCACTACTGTGATCATAGTTTTTGTTGAATGAACACCTTATAACCCACCACTGCCACATGATTTCAAAGTCCCCATTCTTGTGTTGACTGTAGTACTGGTGCCAAGTGATACTACCTTAATTGACATGAACTAGTGAGCCAAGTTCAGAGGCACAGTTAACAAGAGGCAGAAAAATATGGGTTTCCCTACTCAAAAGGCTCACACTAGAGTGAGTCAACACTACATTTACACTGTGAGTGAAGCTTCACTTCAGAAAACCATCACAGTATAATTAAGTCAAAGCACTTTATTTTAAATTTGTTAGTTTTGTTTGCCTTTAATTCTTTTGTGTTGGTTTTGTAGCTGCACATAATTTGATAGTACAGATATCAGTCAATGGCACTCTGGCACTTTCCTCTGATGGACTTCAGAACCTTCTTTGTTCTGCGTCATGTCTTTGGAATGAGTCATTCTTTATGGCTCAGTCAGATGAATGCAGACTCCAAACCAGAGGCCTGCTGGATTTGGTATTACGTTCAATAGATCACTATTATCTAAGGAAGGCTTTTGCCCAGCTGTCACTAAGAGTATATATAACAGGTGATATAAGAGTAATACCCTAAGAATTTTACTCCCCAATATTAACATCTGCAATTAACTGTGCTTTAAATCATTATGTAAATCAACAATGGGAGCATTCGCTATTAAGGAAATCAAAAAGGGAGTTTAATCCCCAATGAAATATGTCCCTCTAGTTTCACAGAAGCATATTTTCCAATGATATTATTCCCACTACATGTTAAAGAGACCGGAAAAGAATTTGCTATCATTATGGTGGCAAATTATGCACTCTCTATGCAACCCCACCCTGAATTTTGGTAAATCAAGTAGATAGATGACCAGTGTTCAAGCAACCATCCTTTCACTGCTACTATGTCCAGTTTGGATTGGGATGAGAGCCTTTATAGACAAAAGTTCTCAAGCTCTGGAGGATGTTTTAATAAATTCTGACATTTAATCTTCTAGAAGATCCCAGTGATGTAGTATTTTTCATAAATTAAGAAAACCTTTAATACTAGAAATAATCAGAAAATGAAGTTTAAAAAGCAATACCCTTTACAATCACATAAAAATATGAAATATTTAGGGATAAATCTGACAAAAATAATGTTCAAGACCAGTATAAATAAGATGATAAACAATAAGATGATAAACAAAAAGAGTGTTTATATGATGTCTGATACATAGTAAGTGCTCAAAATATTATTGTAAAAAGCTAAGGACAACCCAAGTACAATGGAAACATATGTCATGGTCATGGGTCAGAAGACTCAGTATTGTTAAATATCAATTCTCTCCTCATATTGATTCTCTCCTCATCTCTCTATTCAATGCAATCCTAATCAAAATCCCAGCAGGTGTTTTTATAAAAATTGGCAGGCTAATTCTGAAGCTCTATATGGAAATGAAAATGGCCTACACTAGCCAAAACAACTTTGAATAAAAACAAAGTTGGGGGCTAACAGAACCCAATTTCAAGACTCATTTTAAAGTTATAGTAATCAAGACAGAATGGTATTGGTACAAAAATTAACAATTGGATCAATGGAGCAGAACAGGGAGTACAGAAACACACCCACACATAACTGGACTTCTGATTTTTGACAGAAATGCAAAGGCAATTCAGGAGCAAGGACAGGCTTTTCAACAAATAGTGCTAAACAATCAAATATTCATATGTGAAAATAAATACATAAAGTACTCTGACCCATATCTCTCACCATATACAAAAATTAATTCACAATAGATCATAGACCTAATTAAGCTAAAACTACAAAACTTCTAGAGGAAAACACAAGAGAAAACCTTTGTGACTTTGAGTTGGGCAAAGATTTCTTAGATATGAAAAGCACAATCCATAGAACAAATTGGTTCACTGGTTTTATTAAACACAGAACAACTTCTGTGTTTTAAGAGACATTGTTAAGAGAATAAAAAACAAAACTAGGACTGGAAAAAATCCCTTCAAATCAAATATCTGATACTTGACTTTTATCTAGACTATGCATAGAACTCTCAAAACTCAGCAAGAAAATAATCCAATTTTCTTAATGGGCAAAAATGTTGAACACATACTTCACCAAATAAGATACACAAAATGGTAAGTAAGCACATGAAAAGATATTCAATATCTTTAGGGAAATGCAACTAAAACCACAATGAGATACCATTACATACCAATGGAGTGGCTAAAATTAAAAAGACTGACCATTCCAAGTGTTGGTGAATATGTGAAGGAACTAGAATTCTCATAACACTGCTGGTGGGGATATAAAATGGTATAATTAGTTTGGAAAACAGTTTGACAAGTTCTTAAAAAATTAAACGCACACCTACCTTATGATCCAGCCATAGAGAACATGTCCGTATAAAGAATTATACAGGAATGTCCAGAGCACTTTATTTGTAGTAGCCTATATGAATCTCTTCTGAACTCCATATTTCCACCAGGTTTCCCTTGAATATCTCTACATTACCTCCAACTTAATAAGGAAGACTACAAATCTTCCCTTACCCAAGCCTGTGTCCAGCCTGGGTTCAGGTTTGTAACACTCCCTACAGCCACCCAAGCCAGACATAGCACACTGGTTGAGAGCATGGGCTCTGGATTTGAACCCTAGCTTTGTCACTTACTAGATATATGGCTTGGGTTAATCTCTCTGTCCCTTGCTTCTTTGTCTGTATAATGAGAATCTTCCTTATAAGATTACTATGAATATTAAATAAGATGATAAACACAAAGTATATTTGTATGGTGTCTGATACATAGTCAGTGCTCAGTGATTATTAGTATCATTGGCAATATCTACCTATCTCGGTAAAATTATAAAATTATTCACCAAGGACTGCTCATGTCATCTCTGCAGACTGCCTGTCTCCTTCTTTCCCTTCCCTCTGCCACTCAGACTCATTACATCTTGATACCATGTTGAGACAACCTACTCTGCTCTCTCTTCTCGCCAGCGCATTTTCTCAAGTGCTACCTAAGTGCTTCCTGAACCAGGTCAGATCACACACTTTGATGATCAAAGACTGTTGATTGTTTGCCCTTGTCCAAACAGCATAGTCCTTAGTAGGGCATTCAAGAGTCTGTAAGCTTTGATGCTATCCCACTTTTCCACCTCTTACAACACTCTCTGGCCTGAATCCCGTATCATGTGGCCACTCTCAATTCTTCCCTGTCCTCTCTAAACCCTGTCTGGCCCTACTGTTTGTTTAAGGAGGTCCTTCCTCAGCTCCCCATACCCAGGCTCAGCTCAACTCCTATTTTTAACGAACTCGGCCCAATTCCCTAACTGAAATTAATCAGTCCCTTTCCAGTGCTTCCATTGCATTTGCTGATCCGTCAGTCTGGGAGCTTCCATTACGGCCGCCTGTATATATTTGCCTGTTCCTCTCACTTACCTTTGTGCAGGCATTCGAGGAAGGCTTGCTGAATGGAATGAAGCAGGAAGAAAGAACATGACCAACAGTCTGCCTAACAGCTGCCTAACATCTCCCTGGCAATGTCGCCTGTTCATGGAACGTCTTTGTAGATTGACACTTTACAAATTAGCATCCTGTTCCAGCTGAAAGAGCACCAGAGAGCCATCCGACTGGAGGGCATCCTAGAGGAATAGCAGCAGCACCGCGCAAGTGGGAGCAGAGAAGCAAATAAAATAATGCTGACTTAACCTTGGGGACTCTAAATGCCTCTTTCTGAAATTAAGATGTCTCTCTTTTGAGAGGAAGCTGTTTACTATTCAGGAATGCCAGCCCGGCATTTTCCAGACCCACCCCGTTCTTATTATTTTATAAATTAGGGAACCGATGTCATAGCTGGGACCGAGGCTCTGCATGGCCATGCACAATCCTTGATGAAAAAATTCAGGAGATGCTGACGGCAGCACGTTCATGAAAGACCGTCGGCCACTCACTAAGGCAGCTGCCCAGTGGGGGCAGGAGACAGGGTACACACGAGAAGGGGCATGAACCCAAAAAGGTGGCTACCAATCCCCCCCAAATTTTACAGTTTCCCCAGGAGATCCTTTTAATGTGAAAGTGATTCTTTCCGTTGGTTTTAGCTTAGTGGATTAGCATCTTTGAAAAATTTTTACTCAAGCAGTCAATGCCAACTCAACTTAGTCAACAAGTCAATGCCAACATAGTTAACGGCCCTTTCTTTTCCCAGAAACTTCGTAGTTGCCACACAGCTCACGTCACTATGGTTTAGGGCCCATCTTCTGCTGGTAACGGCGGGCACAGGAGTGTGTGAGCGGAAGGCAGCAGAGAGCACGAGCTCCTAACGCGAGAAGCAAACACTCGTGGATCTGGGAGAAGAAAGGGGCCCTACTACCACCCATTCCATCATTCTCAGTTGTGGCCACTATCTCTGTGCCTGTCTCCACTCTCAGAGGACGGGACCGTGACTCACTGTCCTTTGCACCCCAGCATCTCGTTGAGGGTTCTGCAGAATTACATGTCTGCTGAATAAATGAATATACACATGCGTCTCTCAGAAAAGCATTCAGCGGCAGGACGTTCTAAGACTTTTCACATATGGAGAGAATTTTTTTTCTCTTTCCTTGAGATTATTTGTGTCAACTAAGTATGAAGGAAAATTCACTCTTTCTAGACAAAGTTTCATAGGTACATTGACATGGCTACTAAGTAATTTTTAACTCTGAAATTTAGAAAATGTGGGAAAAGTCATTCCTGTGTCAGGGAATATATAAATAGAATATGTATAAGGATGGGGTTTGCTTGAAGTCAGGCACTTTTCACCCCAGATAAACTGAATACAAAGAAATCTAGGCCTCCTGGTGTGATTTCCAACCTGCCAGATAAATCTGCCTCCCTGGAATGGTGTGGGAGAGTCACCTCGGGATTCCTCTACCTTGCGCAGCTGAGTTACAGAGTAACCTGCCAGCAATCCTCTCCGAGTTCACGGGGCTGTTGAAACAGAGCAAAGTCCACAAAAAGTTCCACCGAGATGTGCCGAGCAAAGGCCGGATTCCCAGAAGGAAACAAGCGCTCCTGAGCCACGCTGCCCTCGTCCCCAGGCCTCCCCGCTGGCCCGGGGGTCCGTGTGCCTGGCAATGAGCCCTGTGCTGTCGGCATTCCCAAGAGAGGTCCCGGGCTGGTTCCTGCTCTCCGGGGTCTTCCTGCCTGTGGCTTTACTGCTGCTCCTCCTCATTGCCTACTTCAGGATCAAACTGATGGAGGGTAAGTGCGAGGCCACACGAGGCAGGGTGGGAAGCCCTTTCCCACGGCACACCTTTGGGACGAGCCAGTGCAACGCCAGTGTCTTCTGGGAGGCCTGGAGCAACACATCTTTTCGATTTGTAGGTCCTTCTCATGAAATAGTCTCTCAAGGTATCTTCATCGGTGAATGTGGCAAAGTTTGATCCTTTTAGGAGTGGGGATCGCGCCAGGCTTTGAAGACCTGCCACGGGGAGCCCTTAACGCAGCCACTCACAGACAGTCAGACTGTGACTCGGCAAGTTCAAGGCGCGATTGCTTGTCTCTGTCTCTCAGGCAACAGATTCACGAATTTTAAGACATTTTTCATGGCCTGCTCTCTCTACCCCACAGATGTATGTGTGTGTGCCTGTGAGTGAGAGTGCACACACACATCCACTGAACTCTAGTAAGGAAATGGGCCAAACACTGTGGTGTTTGGGAAAATGTCAAGCCCTAATAGATATTTGATGGCTTGGTGTAAGCAAATGAGGCTGTAGACTTAGGAGGGAAAGAAAACCCAAAACCAAACAAATAAACAAACAGAACATCAGGAAGCTTAAAGGGGTTTAGACCTGGGCAGCTGGGTCCTGGGTTGAGACTGTTTATTTGGCTGTAACTTGAGAGTTAACAGTGTACCCAGCAAACAATAGATTATTATCACAGAGGTTAACAGCTATCTTAGCAAGATCAACAAAAAACAGCAATATTTCTTAAGTTGGATAGTATCATATTAAGTACTAAAAAATATATTTAAAAACGCTTTCTCTCCCACACAAACTTACCAAGTCCAAGCAATGTCTTCATGGATATTATTATACAAACTGATGTTCAGAATCTTGAATGTGATCACATATGATCTAAAATCGAATACAAGTACAATTGGGGATATTTATTTTTATGAGATTTAGAACATAAAAATCCTAGAGGACAGAGAGTACTTGTGGAATAAATTTTTGATCACCATGTACTCAAATATCCCCCTAGCCTTTTGTTTCTGTGTCTTGTTTTTATGAACAGTTCTCTCGTTGAGTGACCCAGCTGTAGTCTGCCTTGCTCCACAGCATTTGTGAGATAAACCTCTTTCTTTATTAAGTCAGTTTATCTTCGGTTGCCCAAGACCAGTCTGCTGGATATTCTGCCACCCAGCCATTCACACCACTGAGCCCTGGCAAAGAGCCTCTGAAGAAAGGAAAATTAGAAACCCCCAAGCTCCTAATTACAGCGCCCCTTTATAGTTTCCCAAGTAGGCTTCATGCCTGGCCACTGCAAACATTCCCATTTGAAGGTCTTTTAAAGCTGTTACAGTGGTCACTGTCAGTCACAAGCATGCCAGGCTCCCACTGATATTGAGCACCCTGCGGAGCAGTAATAGGATGCCAACATCACAGTCAGGGACTTGGATAGCTCGAGTCACTTCCAAGTGTCATCTCTGGCTGCCTCTTTGGTGAGGTAAAATGTTTAGTATCTCAAAAATATATCAAGCATTAAATGAGGCAAACAACAGGCCAAGATAACCTCATGGGTTCCAAAGCCTCTTACTGGCCTCTACTTATCTGTTATTATAGGTCAGATCCTTTGGCAGGACAGCTGGTATTTGGGACAAACTCTGCAAAAAAGGATGAATCTTGGTTTTATAGTTTTATCCCTGGGTGACATTAGGGGGAAAACACCTATAATTTATAAAATTAAAATGGGTCTACAGTATTTGACTTAGATAATTTGGAGGTATAAACATATCAATCACAGTCCTTCCGAATGCCCTGGAAGTCAACTTGCCTTTGCGCATGTGGCCCAGCATCGCAGGGGCTGAGGCAGGAGGAACTGCAGTCAGGGTGCTGCGCCCAGGCCCAGNGTCATCTCTGGCTGCCTCTTTGGTGAGGTAAAATGTTTAGTATCTCAAAAATATATCAAGCATTAAATGAGGCAAACAACAGGCCAAGATAACCTCATGGGTTCCAAAGCCTCTTACTGGCCTCTACTTATCTGTTATTATAGGTCAGATCCTTTGGCAGGACAGCTGGTATTTGGGACAAACTCTGCAAAAAAGGATGAATCTTGGTTTTATAGTTTTATCCCTGGGTGACATTAGGGGGAAAACACCTATAATTTATAAAATTAAAATGGGTCTACAGTATTTGACTTAGATAATTTGGAGGTATAAACATATCAATCACAGTCCTTCCGAATGCCCTGGAAGTCAACTTGCCTTTGCGCATGTGGCCCAGCATCGCAGGGGCTGAGGCAGGAGGAACTGCAGTCGGGGTGCTGCGCCCAGGCCCAGGTCCAGAGGAAGTATTCCCTGTGTACATCACTGTGATCAGTGCACGGTGACACCCTTCCATCTTCAACACATCCCTGCCCTGTAAGTTGTCTGGAAATCAGGTCTCCAATGAGAATTATCACATTAAGGTTGTAGCTCAATCAACTTGGAACTGCTTCTGCAGCGTGTGCGTGAAAGAAGTGGAGGGCCCCAAAGACCTGTTCTCTCTTCACATTTCTCTTCATTCTAAATTCTGGTATGCTACTGAGCTTTTCTTGGCCTCTAGACTTGCTGAACTATGGATCTGTCCCATCCCTCTCAAAGCCTCCCTTTTTTGCAACATAACATCTACGCTGATAGCAAGGTCAGCCTCACATCATGAGGGCTAATGCTTTCTGGGTAGGCCTTTCACCAACTTCTAGGCTTGCTCCAAACTTGCATTGTACTTCTGGATAGGAAGTGTTCTATTCATTCACTCATTCATTCCATTCATTCATTCATTGAAACAAATGTTTGAGAATCTACCATATATTAGGGGTTGTCCAAATACTGGAACTGATGTTTCCTATGGGTTTTCAGGACTGAAAGAAAAACTTAATTCTAGAAAAACCACAAAAGGCATCTGGCAAAATCATTAGAAATTGGAGGAGAGATGTTGCAAATCTGCATGCTTCTGGCTCTGGCCTCATAGGTGTCTGGTCAAAGGGCTTTAAGAATGACCTGCCCTTTCTCCTTAGGTCTTGTCTCAAAGTTATAGCTGAACACTCCCACCATACATGGGACCTTCTAAACAGCTAAGGGGCACTCCTCAGCGACGTAATGAATCTCCATGTTCTGTGGTTCTTCTCCACTCACTCTCACTGAAATGTATCTGGTCTTTTGGGCTACAGATAAGTGGTACAGGAGTGCTGAGGTGAAAGGAGCTAACAAAAATCTGTGCATCAGTCACTTAATGCACTGGCAGTCCCATCTGAAGTTTATTGCTGGAAAGAATACTAATGACTCTTAGCACTCTGTTGCTAGTGGCCTGTCAGTGAACCATCTGGAGGACGCTGAGAGGACTGCCCGCTGTCTGGACCAACAGTCTTCCCTGTTGTCAGTTTTCATTCTGATGAGACTTGGTCCCAAGCATGGTGGGGTAAGGAAATTGCGATCCTGGGTGCTCTCCCTTACAGTTACCTGGACAGGTAAGGAGCAGTTGAGGAGCAGCCTGTACTATTTTATTCTCTCAAGAAATTTATTATTCCAATCATCCTTGGCTTATATTTCCCCACTTCCCAAATGGGATCTGTGCATCTTTTTTTTTTTTTTTGTAGTAATTCCCGATTATGTTTTCCAGTGTTAGCAAATAACCTTGGACTAGGCACGTTTTCACTTTTATGTAGATCTGATCTCTTTCATTCCAAATTCTCCTTTCTTTTTTAAAATAAAAATCTAAGAGCATGTAGCTTTTAAAAATAGTTATTTCTATAGCGACTTTCCTAAGGATACATAGTAATACCTTCTCTCCAGTTTGAGGACAAATGAGATCACTTGGCCCCAAATAAAATATCTCTATTTAGCAGCTCCCACTTAAAAACTGTAAACAGATGGTCAAATGTCATGTCATTAATCTTCCGACCAGGGTTATGGCAAGTGTAATCATTCCTATTTTGTTCCTGTAAAGAAAAGGACAGTGACAGATTAACTGGTGCATTCACAGAACCCCTGAGTCCTGCATTCTGAAACAGGAAATCAGTTTGCCTGCCTCATGCATTCTAGTCCGTTAGACAGGAGAGGCCTTTTAGGACATGATGGAAAGCATGTGGAGGTATTGTAATTACTCAACATTAATCCCTGCACTGCCAGCCTGAGGAGGTAATGGTGCACGTAAATTTAATTAGTATGTAGAGAACATCAATTTTCTCACAAAGGAAGAAAAGAAAATTCTCTAACATCCTGTACTCTTCAATCTGTCAACTGCCTTGAGGAATAGCTCTTAAGGTGAAGGTCTGAATCTTGAACTTTTCATTGCCAAACCCTTCATCAACCATGCCATGGACATCTCATGTCTTGTAAGGTGGAAGTTCTGATTGTCTTATCTCCCCAAATCCTGAGATTCCTAAACTTCTACTGTCAGTGCCACTCCTTGTCCCCAAAATACCATCATTCTGATCAAGAACAAATTGCTCTCAAAATAACCAACATTGCCAAAAATATTATCTAAAAAAAAAATGTGTCTATTGAATGCCTGAAAGTTTTTGTATGGCATTGGATCCAAATAAAGTCAGGTAAGTGATCAGGTTCTGGCCTTCTGCAACTTATATTCTAAAATAGACAACGTAAGTATTGAAAATGTACAGGGTAGCTAGACATCTTCTACTGAATTTCATGTATATTTTTAGTAGTCAGCAATTACAAAGGAAAATGAAGTTTTGGGAAAGATCAGAATAATTTAAGGCTCAGCAGCGTGAAATTGTTAAGACTCAGACTATGGAGTCAAACCAAAGGGGGTTCGAATTCAAGATCTGTAACAATGGCCACTCAACCTCTTGAAAGTTGTTTCTTCCTCTGTAAGAAAAAAATAATAGCACGATGTAACTGTGGGGATTATGTGAGGTGATGAGGTTCTTAACAGTGACAGTTCTAAACAATTATTATTAGTCATTATTACCTCTGCTCACTTATAAATTATGTCATTATAATAACAAATAATAAAGTTATCTTCTAATAATTAAGCAAATTGCCCAAGGTCACTCACCTAGAAAACGATAGAGACAGGCTTTGAACCCTGGCTGGCCCGATCCAGAGCTCGCCCTCTCAGCCAGTTCACTACCCTTGTGCATTGAACATGCAGTAGGTGTTCAATAGCTATCTGTTGAATGAATGAATCTTTTTGGCCCAGACAAATAAGCTAACCCCCAATACAAAAGGCAACTTGGAGAATTTGAGACAAGGCAAGACTTCTACAAAAGCTTTAAGAGGATTTGACCAATCTCTTTATATAACAGGAGTAACTGTAATTACTGATGAGGGTGATTCCTCAGCATAAAGACAAAGCCCTGAGTCAAGGTCACATTTCTTCATCTGTGGCCCAAAGGGAAAAATTGGTTACTTGTAGAATTTTCCACAATAACAAATGGGGATCTTCAAGGCCACCTGCCTAATCTAACCTGTCTAATCTCTCTCTGCACTCTCCTTTGTAGACTCTTTGAAATTAAATGGTGGCCAAATTGCAAGCTCTTTCAGAAGGCGGCTAAATTTTCTCTTGCTCTCTGCATCGCACCTAGCACAAACACTTTATTTACTGGACAGATAATGCGTGTCTATTGATAAGCTTCCTCTTGGTCTCTATTTTGTTCTCTATCTTATTAGAGTTCTCTTCTTTCAGTGTCATTGCTCAGGTCACCCATTTTCAGGTCACAACTTGTATCCTGGTTCCTCATACACAGCACTGGTTGTGCAGTTTAGCCTTTGGTAATTATGAGTAAAAGGAAAGAAATTACTCATATTCCAATGATCTTATAATCTAAGCCATGGACCATCTCAAGCAATACCTTTGAAGGAGCAATAATCTATGTGGAAAGACAGTGTAACTGAGTGGTTGAGAGTGTGGGCTATGGAGTCAGACTGGGATCGAATCCTGAGCCCATCAGTTTCTGGGCAAATTGCTTCACCTTGATTTCCCTCTGCTTCAGTTCGTTTCTCTGTAAAGTAAGAACAACAACAGTGACTACAACAAAATATCATTGCAAGAATTAAATAAGGTATGCAAGGGGCTTCGCGCAGTGTCTGGCACATAACTGCTCAACAAATATTAACTATTATACCTTGAGGCTCATGTAAGCTAGAGCTCGTCACCATCCAACGCATGTGTACCCTCTCTAGACTAAGATGACAAACAGTGAAGCCCTTGAAGAACTCGTGTCCTGGAGTACCTGGCATATAAAGTGCCTGGCAGGGATAAACTGCTTGGATTTGACATGGGAGAAAAAAAAACAAAAAAACATTTTCAGGTTCAATTCTATAAACATGTATCACCTCCCATGAGATTACAAGCTTCTGGTCTCTGGTTTGAATAATTTGATTAGTTACAATTCTTTTTTTAAAAAAATGTCTTTATTGATTTCAGAAACAGAGGATAGATAGATAGAAACATCAATGATGAGAGAGTCATTGATCGGCTGTCTCCTGCACACCCCCAACTGGGGATCGAGCCAGCAACCCGGGTGTGTGCCCTGACAGGGAATCGAACTGTGATCTACTGGATCATAGGTTGATTATGCTCAACTACTGAGCCATGCTGGTTGGGCTGATTAGTTACAATTTTGAAAATAAAACTTTTAAGAGTAAAAAGAGCAGATTAACTCGTGTTTTGGTGACAGTTGGGAAGAGTTTATATATATCAGGTATATATTTATATATATATATATATATACACACACACCAGGAGGATCTCAAAAGATACTTGTTGGGATGTCAGAAGACACCTCAGAGCTAAAGATCAAATGTGTCATTGCTGAGAGATAACAGTTGAAGCTACAGGAAAGAGTATATGGAAAGAGAAACATAATAAAAGCCAAAGGGAGGAAAGTGATAGGGTGCATGGTGTGTGTGTGGGGGGGAGCTCATGTCAAATGCTACAGAGGGAGAAAGTGCTACTAGATTTAGTAATTGGGATATTATTGATAAGTTTTTAATATTTTAGTGAGAGTAGCTTTACTTGAAGTTACATTTTAAGGAGTTTAGTGTGTAGGTGGTGAAAATTTGAAACTGTCAGTTTTCAGTAAAAGATGCCAAAAGGTAGAGAAAGAATAATATTTTGATATGTCAAAAGGCTATAAATGCCCAAACCTATTTGGGGTGGGGCAGGGACAGAAAGCCTCTCTTACTCATTTCCATATCCCCAGCTCCTGGCCTAGAGACCTGCTTAATAAATGCCTGTTGAATACGAGGAACTAAATAAATTTAATCTACACTTAATCAGCTACATGTAAAATATACTTAGCATGTAACAATTGTTTATTACAACGGTAATCTGTCCACTCTAACCAGGACCACTCTTTAGAAATAAGCATTTACATTTTTCAGAAGTGGGTGAGGGGGTAAGGAGAGCTCCTGCTAGGACTTGCTCGGGAGACCTGGACTTTTGTACCTTGCTGGGGCCACCAGTGCTGAAGTACTGGACAATAACCACTTATGGCACCTCGCTATTTCCAAGGTGTTAACTGATATTTTTCCTTTCAGTCAATGAAGAGCTGTGCCAGACTCCTGATCACCATCACAACCGCAGGGCTGCTTCCTCCCTGTACCAGAGAACGAAACGAACATGACCCCTGGGGGCTCATCGATGGCTGAAGTGCACTGAGCTTCTGCTCAGAGACTAACGGTCCACAGCAGAGCTAGCAAAGGCTAACAAACTAGAACCACAGCAAAAATAGGACCACTAAGATGCTCATCCTGAACCATACTGACGAGTGGCAGTGTTATCCGAGAAGACTTCTTTAAGCCTCAGCTTAAACTGCAGGTCTTCAGAGTACCAAGAATAGTATTTTCTAGGATGTGCTCTATGGACTGGACACATTGTAACTTTCTAACGTTTAAAGGACTATGTCTACTTTGAAGGGCATATTTTAAAAATAAAATCCTTAAGCATCAATATTACAGAATCCTGTGGAAGCCCAAATTATTCTAGAGGTAAAGAAACTCTGGTGGATATGAGATAGATGGCAAAAGACAAACGCCTCGGGAGCCCCGTGGATTCCGTGCGAGGGTTCCCACCTCCTCCTCTGGCACTTCCACAGCCTTTCACACCTTTTCACGCATCATTCTGGCCCTGAGTCTGCTTCTCTCCTTTTCCCAGTTGCTTTCACAATCACATTATCAAATCACAAAACAAGTGCAGTCTCTCGATACTACATATGGATCACCCACAAATGTCGTTTCAGCAGGAGGTGCCTTGGAGACACTGGCAATTTGGTGCTGGGAAAAGGAGAGCACAACGTCCGCGTAACTAACGAGGGGAATAATTCAGGGCTTTGCCTTTCAAACCAAAGCATCAGGGAGCTGTTCCTAAATGAGAAAAGAAGTCCACATTTCCCTACCAGAATTCTCTTTCAGAGACAGCCCCAAAGAGCCAACAGAGATAAAAGAAACATTTCACTCGAAGCGGTAACATAGTGGTGACTATTATGCTCTCCAGTTTCCTAGTTAATATTAACAAAAGATGCTTCAAATATCCTAAGTGTAAGTCTGGTTATGTTCCAATATTTGTATATGAATCTAATAGGCCATTCGAGTGATTAACTTTATAAAACATTATGAATTTGGTCACCTGTAAGAAAATTCGCCAATTTCCATAGTGACACACAATCATACAAAAGGTTGCACGGGTGATGAAGACAAAAAGCAAGACCCCACCACCCGTGCTGGGTATTTTCTGCTTCTTCCCCCTCCCCTCAAGTTCTTCATATGCATCCAGTGAGCTACTGGTCTCCATTTGCACTTTTTGAAAAATATGAAACTCCCCCTTTGACTGAAGACACTCATTTCCGTGTTTTACTGCATTTGGCTACAGTGAAAATGTCTGCTGGGCCTTTCAGACTAGGGTAATTTAGAGTAACAGTATTCGTGCCATATGGAAGGAATGACAATATTCTTTCAGTTCTGGGAGGGATCTCTTTTTAGCCCCTGGTGGAAACCAGCTTATGTAAGAGTGCATTTTGGAACAGAAGGTGTGAAAGGACACATTGTATTCCCAGCTGCCAGCCAAATCTGTGCTTCGGCCACCGGTGTTTGCTCACCTTCTGGAAACGGCATTTCGGAAGCCTGCCTCGGCTCTGCTGGATGCCTCTCCACCACCTCTGCCTTACCAGCTATGGTGGTAACAGATGAACTCTAAATATATGTGTTTTCAGTGATAAGCATAACCAGCAGTTGAACGCAAGACATAGTTCTTTTGTTGCTTTTGAGTAAGACGAGAGCAAGGAATTTCTAGTGAACTCATGAGTAGATCCCATAATGTTTTTGTGTGTAGAGAGGGGCAGAAACATGTTGGTTTTCCCATGGAGTGACCAAGTCCCAAGGATTTTACTATCATCTGCTTCCAGGCACCGCTACTGAACTTGACAAGCCCTTTGCAGAGCACAGCCAACCAACTGCATGGCCACGCCTTTGCTCTTCCCGTGCTCAGCGGTTAAGGTCTCATTCCAGTTTGCATGGCTTTGGCTCTTCATCGTGGCTGCCACCGAGACCAGGCAAGCAGTCTCCCGACACTATCCTATATAGTCTCTCCCATCCTATGCTCCAAATCCTTTCACCAGGAGCCGAAAATGCTCTCAGACCCTGAATGGTCTCACCTCAACAGTTCCTAATCTTATTTCTAATGTTCTCATATCTGAAAGAATTGCCAATTCTGTTTCCCCAACATGAGACCTCCAGTAGAACACTTAAGGGGTGCTTTAAGTTTTGTTATGTGACCATTTATTCAATAAAAATTTACCAAAGAAAAAGAAAATTTTAACAGAGCTAACCTAAAGCAGCTAATATTATCTTTCCATCTCTCCTGTTAGAAATCTGGCCCTGGGAAACTGCAAGTCCACAACCTGTCCTTCATACCCTGAACCAAGTAGATAAAACAGAAAATGAGATAAAGAAGGGCACACATTTTGTTCCCTGAAATATTACTTGCAACCCCTTTAAAAAAAAAGAAAACATACTTATAATGAATCTGATCAGGTAACAGCCTCCGGTAATTTCTATATACAATTTAGTAGCAAATGGAAAATCGAGGGCAAACACTTCCATACAACAAAAATTGCTTTGACATTTTGAGTTCTTTGGCAAAACGATGTCTTGGAAATCAGTTTGTAACTGTTAAAACACATTTGAGAGATCAATTTTTTCATTTGTTTATAAAAAGTTATAATTTTCAAAACAAAATGCTCTTGAGATTCTTGCTTTCTGACTAATTAGTGTGGTAATCAGGAAAGGCCTCTGAATTTATCACAATTTGTACAATGACATTCACTCTGGCAAATGAGTGACAAGACGTGAATGAGAAACGTGTTCAAAAAAATTTAATTACCTCCGGATGAAATTTTAAATATTCTTTCCACTTTTTAAATTTTCAAATCCACATTCCAAACCCAGATTAAGAGTTTCCTAACCTTTAATTTAGGTAATAAAGGCTTTTGAGAATTTGATGAAAGCCAGGAATCATCTTTTATCTCTAGGAAAAATGTACATAACCATGATTTTGCATATATTGGAGGAATGCTTAGCCCCTTGAAATCCACCCAGGAGTCTGTGGTTAGGAAGTCTGCAGCTAGAGTCTTAAAGAGGGATTTGTGCCTGTTACACCAGCCACCTTAGCTGCCTCCACCCAGGAGAGGATGAGCAGACCATAAAGGGTTCCTGACAGTAGGCTCAGCAACGTCAAGTCCACTCACCTCCAAAGCCCAAGCCTTCCCAGAAGGCTTCCTAAGTAACCTCATGACAGTGCCCGTGAGAAAAGCAGAAGCTATTCAAGATAGTACACTGCCAAAAATCTACCAACTCTACACATTTTTTGAAAACCTTATTTTTTATCCTGCTGTGACTGTGGAATGTGCATTGCTGTTTCCTGTGTTCCACACACTATAAGACTTATGTAAAATAATACTTGTAAAAACCCTGTGCAACTGAATTATTGCTTATCACCCCCAAATTATGTTGCTTTTGACTTATGATACACAATTAGCACCTGGATGTCTCAGCTCAGTGAACCTGGTTGACCTACTTCCTTAGTCTATCATTTAGCATTTTGAAAGCTCAGTTTATAGAGATCCTGAGAAACTATTTGTAAAAAATGCAAAATATCAAAAAAGACAGCCTTGTTGCTGTAGTCACAGATGACATTTTCAGCATTGTTTCCCCCTACAGGTACTCAGACATCTCTGGGACCCCAGGCCCTGTCCCTGTTGTCCGAGCTGAATCAGCCTGAGCCTGACTGACTGCATCTCCTGATCCACTGGAGCTACTGCAGACACACTTCCTATCTCTGCGACTGTTCTCAAAAATCCCTGGCAAGATCAACCTCTGCTTTAAATATGTTATATATATAAGCTTTCTGATGAAAAATATTTACAGAATCACATTTGGTTCCATAATATTCCTAAGGCTTGGCTTGCTGAGACAGGCTCCCCCAGTGAGGAGGAGTTGTTTCTCTCATCATTCTAGAGAAAGCGAGAAAGACCTTTCGCAGGTGAGAGAATTCAGTGGAAACAGATCCCAAAGGCGGCAGTCATTATATTTAACACACCCACTTTAAGTGACTAGGGAAATTCTACATAACACTGTAAATGGAATATTCTGTTGGTCATCTGCTGTGTAATGCCTTTAATGTTTAAAAGAAAATCAGCACTTAATCTGGTGGGTTTTGGCGGAAGCCTCTCCATGAGCCATCCTGATTGGACACGTCGCAGCCCTCGGCAGAGCCCATTCACCTGATGCCTTAGGCCCAGTGGACAGCAAAGCAAAACATGAACCAGGAAAGCAGGCTTCAGACGATACAGCTAAAGTATTTCCTGAATCAAAACAAAAAATACAGAAAGAAAACAAGCAAAATTATCCGCTGAAGAATTAGTAAAAGCTGGGGTGGGTTGTGCAATCAGGAAGGAGGAATCTGGCTTCTGAACATTAGATTTACAAACGTGCAACACTGCCTTGACCGTCTGAAATCGGTGATGCTGGCAGCAAGCATCACATTATCAAAGATCTGAAGTACAGATTTTAAAAATGCTATATCACACAAAACAAGAGGACTTCTGAATGAAAATATCCTAACTTTATTTTTGAAAACCTATATAAAAAGAGAAATGACAAGATTAGAGAATAAACCAACTTTATTTTATAACAGTATTACAGAAAGCAAAATATCATTTAATACAACTTGAAGCTGCTATAAATCTAATCTGGCATCATAACTATACATCGGGTCAAAAGCAAAGGGAAAAATGTTCAATACAGTTAATAAGTCCCTATCAGGTCTCTGGTGTCAGCTTTAAATGGTCGAGCTTTCTTATACCCATCAAAACACACCACTATAGCCCCTACCAACTCCTCCACCCAGTGTCCTCAAACCTGTGTGATCAAACTATCTGAAAGAGACAGACCTGCTCAATAACAAAAGGTCAGTTTCACATGTAGACAAAGAGGTTTAATACAAAGCAAGTCTTCTACACAAATGTTCAAATAATGGAAAGTATTGAAATTTGGACATGTTAAGAAAGAAAGCACTAAGGTTTTAAGCTGCCTGAATATTTCAGTAGGAGGGAAGACACCCTCCCTCCTGTTTCTGGAATGCTCTGAGAAGCGTGGGCACTGTGGTGCAGGGGTCTCCACACACAGCGCGTGGTCAGCGAGCTTCGTAATTCTCCAGTCTGGAGACTCTGACTTTCTACTAACAGTAAAAAGCCACAGGACTGGAAAGTCAAAAGGGTTCCATATAAAAAATATCCCCAATGAATTTCTCAAACATTAGAAAATTTTCAAGATGTAAGAAATGCTTTTAATCCATATTAATATTTTCTTATACGGTGTATTTACTGCACTCTGAAAACTCTGTAAATATTTCCTGTACTCAGTGAGAATTCAATGGGGAAAGTCTGGAAGAAGGGAAGCCACTAAGTTAGTCACAGTGTTTCCTTTCCGCACAACAGCACCTGTTCCAGTGAACAGCACCTCACCAGCAGGGCTGGCTTTGTTCACTATCATTGGGTCAAATGAGTCATATAAAGCAGGTAGTTGTACACAAAGTAAACAGGAAACAAAACAAAACTCCCTAATTTAAAAAAAAAAAAAAAAAAAAAGAACCAAGAATATTTAGAAGTGGTTATAAAACAAAATAATATATTAAAATGCAAGGGAACATTGTAGACCAGAGCTGTTAAGGTAAGATTTGGTGTTGGCATTTTAATTCTTCAGGCTTCTGGTCATTGTTACCAGTTGTAGTATAAATTCGCTGGAGTAGTGGTGTGGCATTAAGACTTGAAATGGTCAGAATTCTTCAGGTTCACAAAGTTGAATGCTGTTTAATAAATGTATTTCTAGGAGGGAAAAAAAGAAACAAGGCTTAAATATTCCAAAAATAGAGGCTTGAAAAAAAAAGTAGGTAACATTCATCAAATTCCAAATCAAGTAATCTACAGTAACTATCTGACTAGTTCTACAGTAAATAATGGGTTTACCAGAGGACATACATGAGACCCTGTTCCACCCTTGGCCTTAAAGTATACTGAGAATTGACAAGCATACTAGAAACAACTGGCAAGTAAGAATAAACCGAGAGAGCCAGGCCGGGCATGGCTCAGCAGTTGAACGTGGAACTAGGATCCAGGCGATCGGGGTTTGATTCCAGATGAGGGCACATGCCCAGGTTGCGGGCTTGATCAATGA